GCCACCCCACACATCCCAGGTCCTCATGTCACTTCATTTGTGCCCCATTCCCCTGTGCCACCCCATGTGCCCCAAATCCCTGTGCCACCCCATGTGTCCCAAATCCCTGTGCCACCCCACGTGGCAACCAGCGCGTCCCAAGTCCCTGTGCCACCTCCTGTGCCCCAAATCCCTGTGCCACCCCATGTGCCCATGTCCATGGGTCCCACGTCCCCACATCACCTCCTGTGCCCCAAATCCCTGTGCCACCCCATGTGCCCCAAATCCCTGTGCCATCCCAAGTGGCAACCAGCGCGTCCCAAGTCCCTGTGCCACCCCATGTGCCCATGACCACAGGTCCCAGGTCCCCATACGTTCCATTCCCCTGTGCCACCCCACAGGTCCCAGGTCCCTGTGCCACCTCCTGTGCCCCAAATCCCTGTGCCACCCCATGTGCCCCATTCCCCTGTGCCACCCCATGCCCCATTCCCTTGTGCCACCCCATGTGCCACCCCACGTGCCCCAAATCCCTGTGCCACCCCATGTGCCACCCCACACATCCCAGGTCCTCATGTCACTTCATTTGTGCCCCAAATCCCTGTGCCACCTCCTGTGCCCCAAATCTCTTTGCGATCCCATGTGCCCATGTCCATGGGTCCCACGTCCCCACATCACCTCCTGTGCCCCACATCCCTGTGCCACCCCATGTGCCCCATTCCCCTGTGCCATCCCAAGTGGCAACCAGCGCGTCCCAAGTCCCTGTGCCACCCCATGTGCCCGAAGTCCCTGTGCCACCCCATGTGCCCATGCCCAAATGACCCAGGTCCCCATACGTTCCATTCCCCTGTGCCACCCCACACATCCCAGGTCCCTGTGCCGCTTCCTGTGCCCCAAATCCCTGTGCCACCCCGTGCCACCCCACACGTCTCAGGTCCTCACGCCACCTCATTTGTGCCCCAAATCCCTGTGCCACCCCATGTGCCCATGCCCAAATGTCCCAGGTCCCCACGTCACCTCCTCTGTGCCCCATTCCCCTGTGAAACCCCATGTGCCACCCCATGCCCATGGATCCCCATATGTCCCATTCCCATGTGCCACCCCACACGTCCCAGGTCCCCACGTCACCTCCTTTGTGCCCCAAATCCCAGTGCCACCCCATGCGCCCCATTCCCCTGTGGCACCCCAAGTGGCAACCAGTGCGTCCCAGGTCCCTGTGCCACCTCCAGTGCCCCAAATCCCAGTGCCACCCCATGCGGCCATGTCCATGGGTCCCCGTATGTCCCATTCCCATGTGCCACCCCACGTGTCCCAGGTTCCCCACGTCACCACCTTTGTGCCCCATTCCATGTGCCATCCCATGTGCCCCAAATCCCTGTGCCACCCCATGTGCCACCCCACACATCCCAGGTCCTCATGTCACTTCATTTGTGCCCCAAATCCCTGTGCCACCCCATGTGGCAACCAGTGCGTCCCAGGTCCCTATGCCATCCCCTGTGCCCCAAATCCCAGTGCCACCCCATGTGCCCCATTCATCTGCGCCACCACATGTGGCAGCCAGCGTGTCCAGGTCCCTGTGCCACCCCATGTGCCCCAAATCTCTTTGCCACCCCATGCACCCCATTCCCTTGTGCCACCCCATGTGTCACCCAGCGCGTCCCAGGTCCCTGTGCCACCTCATGTGCCCCAAATCCCTGTGCCGCCCCATGTGCCCACACCCAAACGTCCCAGGTCCCCACATCACCTCCTTTGTGCCCCATTCCCATGTGCCACCCCATGTGTCCCAAATCCCTGTGCCACCCCATACAGCACCCCATCCACCCCACATCCTTGTGTCACCCCATACACCCCACACCCCATACACCCCACAGCCCCATACCACCCCATACACCTCATATCGTTGTGTCACCCCATCCACCCCACATCCTCGTGTCACCCCATCCACCCCACATCACCACTTCACCCC